ACAACATTAGACTATCGTAAATATGTAGTGGCCCGAAAATTGATGCCAAAGCTTAGTATAATGAAATATATTGTATGACAATTGTTTTTAAAGAAAAGAACAATCAATCGAGTATAAATAATTTTAATTTTGACTATTTAGATAAATCTACAGAGGCCACAAAGCTCCTTTATGATTCGCATTAGATGACTATTAATAATTAATAGCCAATAGACCTTGTTTTCGTCATTCTTCACATACATACTGTTAGAGGGATGTCGCTCCTATCTGTCTATTCTATTATCCTCTATCTTTTCTTCACTTTCGTATACTACTATTCGATTTGTTCTTATATATATATATGTATACGTGTTGATGGAGAGGGAGAATAAATAAAGATCGTGTGAAAGACACACATATAGAGAATATATCTCTAACATTTGGCGACCCTGGCAAACAACATCGGCATAAAAAAGGAAGAATTTTTTTAACATCACATCAATTGATATCAACAAATCAATCGTATTACATAGAGCCTCTTGAAACAGAGACTCGAATATTATAACTAAAGTCTCTATAAAAGAAACTTGTATTTGATTCGAATCTAGAACTTCAGAAAAGACATTCGATCATAATTATAATCCCATTCGAACAACTAATCAACCATTTTTCTATTTAACTGATTAATAATAATACATTCATAACGGCTACCGGTACCAGATCTCACATTCGGAAAAACAATCTCAACTTGATTCCGTATACCGTAATAACACATCCATTAACTCACACTTCATTACATTCGAATTCTATTCAAACTTCCACCAACAATTTTAAGCAAATGGCTGATCAAATATTATTATCCAAAGCTCGTAAAGCTAGATTCGATGATTTACCAAAATTTTCCGGGCATCCTTCTGAGGATGTCGAACGATTTTTGAAAAGCATTACCAACTTGACCAAAGCTAATGACGAATCCAGTACACCTGAAGTCTTAGAAATTGTTCGTGGCAAATTAACTCTATCGGCTGGTAAATGGTTCGATGATAACGAATCTAAATTCAAGAAATGGTCAGATTTCGAAACTGCATTTCGAAATCGATATTTTCCTACAACATTAACTCATAGGAAATTTGATGCATTAAAACAACGCAGACAACTACCCGACGAACCAATTACATCCTACTTCGATGATATCGTTAATCTATGTCAAGAAATTGATTTAAATATGTCTGAACAAATCATCATTCAATACTTAATGAGTGGCATTAATCCTGATTTTAAAAAGGAACTCTCTCGACGTGTATTATCAATAACTACATTAAATGAATTCTTAAAATTTGCAAAGATCGAACAGGATCTATATGACACTTTTGAAAAGTCTCAACACTCATCATCAATTGAATTTCAACAACCTTATTTTGATAATAATCGTTCATCCACTCCGTCATTAACCGCAACGATTAATAAATTCGATCAACATTATCATTATATAAAACACAATGATCGTCGTTCATATCCTATATCAACACAGAGCTCCGTCTCACGACAGAACTCGATTCCTCATTCTGGAAATCGATCAACAATGGTGGAAAATAAACAAATTCTTTATGATTCTCAACCATTTACGTATAAACAGAAACCGATCAATCGTCAACAAACATTACAAAATAGATTTTCGAATTGTAAAATCTGTAATCGAACAAACCATCGAACAATTGATTGTTTTTATAAATACACCACCGGATGTTTTAAATGTGGTCAACCAAACCATAACATTCGCGATTGTCCATTACTTCAAAATTTTCAATAACTGGGTCACATGATGGCGGTGTTCCCAGTAAATATATTAAGCCATCAAAAATTTCCTCTCCCGTTTACATCAAAATTCGTGTTAATAATCAACCAACTGACGCAATTGTTGATACCGGATCCGCCATTTCAATCATTCATGTAAACTTTCTTAAAACCACTCATCATAACAAATTTATATATAAACCCCATCAATGCCAAACAGCAAACTCAACATCTCTCAATGTAATCGGTCAAATTGAATTAGAAATAAACATTAAACACATTACAACATTCATCATTGCTTATGTCGCAACAAATTTAATTACATCGATTCTCCTAGGCAATGATTGGATTAATTCAAATCAAGTTCACCTTTTTGGTGATCAACAACGTTTAACAATTCCTGATCAACATCATCAACTAATTTCAATTCCATACATGGAACCTATGTGTACTCATTATTCCGCACGATTAGCTAATCGAATTACACTTTCTCCCAACTCACAAATGTTCGTTGACGTTAAATCACAAATTTATAATGCAACAAATTTAATATTTGAACCATATGGACGTCATGCATCGAAACTTATTTTTATTCCACATGCCTTATTAAATATTCACAATCATACATCAAAAGTCTTGCTGATAAATGCTCAAAATCATTCACAAACATTATCAAGAAATACACGAATCGGAACTCTTTCTCGTGATGCAACATTTTCAATATTTACAACAACACAACATCCAGTTGAACGTAAATCGTTCTCAAATAAACATAATCACTTCACATCTCAATATTCTCGAAATACAAGCACCGGAGCTGTCTCATATAATGACAACAACTCGAATCGAATTACATTAGATACTCATTGTCATGAATGCAATGAATATTTCTTATCCGGTAATGATTTACAAAAGCATCTACGAGCACAATGTTATTCGGAACAAATTCGAAAACAAATAAACGAATCAACTGCACATATAGAAAATCCTAAACATCGATCACAAATTCAAGATATACTATGGCGAAATAAAATATTATTCGACCCAACACCATCGATTATTAACATTCCTCCACAATCTGCTATTAAAACTGGTGAACATCCACCTATATATTCGAAACAATACTCCGCATCACATAATGATCAACAACTGAAACTTCAAGAAACACAAAAGTTGTTAGAACGTGGTCAAATTGAAGAATCAACATCTCCATGGTCATCACCTATTGTTCTCGTTAAGAAGAAAGATAAAACCATACGATTTTGCATAGATTATCGTCGACTAAATGCAATTACAATCAAAGATGCATTTCCACTTCCTCGTATCGACGAAATATTTGATCAATTAACTGACGCAATATATTATACAAAATTTGACTTTAAATCTGGATACTTTCAGGTCCCTCTATCTAAAGAGGACCGTCCGAAAACTGCTTTTTCAACCCAGAACAATCATTATCAATTTACCGTGCTCCCACAAGGAATAACCAATGGTCCCGCATCATTTCAACGCATTATTAATCATATATTAGGACCTACAAGATGGAAATATGCATTAGCATATATTGATGATGTAATTATATATTCCAAAACCTTTGAAGAACATTTAATCCATCTTAATGAAATTTGTCAAACATTACGACAAGCTCGTTTCCGTCTTAATCCAGATAAATGTGAAATTGCTCGAACGCAAACAGATTATCTTGGTCATCGTATTCAACATGGTGAAATTCGTCCAAGCTCTACTAACATCAATGGTTTATTAAATACGAAATTACCACAAACTCCAGATGAAGCTTGCAAATTTGTCAAAGCTGCCGAATATTATAGAAAATTTATACCAAATTTTTCTCAAATCGCCGAACCACTTAGAAAATTCGTACCAACTACTAGAACTCAACAAAAGAAAGGACAAAAAACTTTCATTACATTAACAAATGAAGAAATTAAAGCATATGAACAACTCAAGCATCTCCTTACAACGGATTTAGTATTACGTCTTCCAAATAATAGATTCCCTTTTAAAGTACAAACAGATGCTTCTGATGAGGGAATCGGTGCTGTTTTATTACAAATATATCCAGAAGGAGATAGACCTGTTGCATATATTTCCAAGAAATTTACTCAAGCACAACGTAAATGGTCTCCGATGGAACAAGAATGTTATGCTTTTATTTGTGCATTAGAAAAATGGCATAATTATTTAAGTGGAATTAAATTCACATGGGAAACCGATCATAAAGCTTTAACACAATTGAATAAAAAAGCTCAACTCAATAAACGATGCGAAAGATGGAGATTAAAAATTTTGGAATACGATTTCCAGGTGAAATATATTCCAGGTTCAACAAATTCAATGCCTGATTATTTATCAAGATCTCCCGTAGACGATGCTGAAGAAGACCCAGATGAAGTTACCCTTACTACTTCTCAATCAACTCAAACAGATATTTTATTTAATAACACCCATTCACCTATCATCGCAGCTGTTGAAACTCGTGCTATGAAATTACGAAATCAAGCTTTGAATGATACAAATGATAATAAAAAATTAACATCAGATTCCCTAAATACTTCTGTTGAAGAGAATCGAATTATTCCATTTTCAATTGAAGACTTAATACAAGCTCAACAAAATGATACTTATGCAAAAAATATTCTGAACAATATCAAGAAACATAAAGAATATATTATAGAAAATGATTGTTTAATACGTCGATTAAATCCTCCAGTTCCATATGTACCACAAGGTGAACTTCGTCGAACCATATTAAAAATTTATCATGACACTGCAGCAAATGGTGCACATTTCGGACGAGATAAAACAGTACACAAAATTAAAACCCGTTATTTTTGGCCCTCGATGTACAAAGATATTAATAATTACATTAAATCCTGTATTCCTTGTGCCCAATACAATCCTCGTCGACAAAAAGTTCCTGGTACATTAAAACCGATTAAACCCCCTGATGGAGTATGGCAGTTAGTCTCTATGGACTTTCATGGACCTATTACCCCAACATCACAACGTGGAAATAAATATATTATATCTCTTACTGATGTTTTATCGAAATTCGTCGTCACAAAAGCTGTTCGCGATAATACTGCTCAGACAGCTGTTCGATTTATTAAAGAAGATATCATTACCAAATTCGGTACACCTCATTGTATACTTACGGATAATGGTACTCATTTTACATCGTCCTTAACAAATGAATTATTTAAATGTATTGGCACAACACATTTATACTCGACACCGTATCATCCCCAAACTAACGGTCAAGTCGAACGATATAACTCAACAATGGATGCAAAAATTGCAGCTCTTTCGAACTTACACAAAACCGATTGGGATGAACAATTACCATTCGTTACCTTCAATTATAACACGTCCATTCATTCCTCAACAAAACAAATCCCATTTCAAATGATGTATGGTCGCACACCAGTGTTACCATTTGATTATCAAGAAGATAATGTTACTTTATCTTATGATTCGGAACATGCGAACAAACTTAATCAGTTTTTACAAAAATTAAATGAACAAGCCAAAATTCACATTTTAAAAAATCAAGAACGATATAAACGGTATTATGATACGCATCGTTCTAATCCATCGTACAAAATTGGTGATCTTGTTCTCGTTAAAACACTCAACATCCGTTATAAATTTGACATTCGATATGAAGGACCATTCCGCATTATTAAACAAATTACCGAAAAAACATTTATCGTCCAACACATCAAGAAACCAACATTACATCGTCAAGTCACCACTGATGTGTTATTTCCGATTTTCGAACGAATTCAATAACATCAGAACCTCTTAATAAAGAGATGCGATTCACTAATTTATATGTCAAACATTATGGAATAATTAATTATTATTAAAATTACCTCATGAAGTATGATTTAGCATAGCATAATCGGGGAGTATGACTTTCCTCAACTCACTGACTGTGAAGGGCTATTATAATTTGTTTGGTTTATGATTTCAATGAATAAATATTCCATTTATACGAAATACAACTTTGGATATATTATATATTCAATTATTCTCGATCGATTTTCAGCTAGCTAGTGGAAATTGAAAAGAATGAAATTTCGAAAAAAAAAAAAAAAAAAAAAAAAAAATTTTTTGATTGACATATAGACAGAAGATAAAATATTCAAATTCTATCAACGAACACCTACATCTTCATTATCTGATAATCATTAGTGAATTCATATAACCTATCACAAATAACTTTTAATAAAATAAACTTCATTGTTAGGAAATCGATCGTCCAATACTATACATATAATTTTCTTTCCTCTTATCTTACCCATGTTATCCGAAGTTGAATATTATACAGCATTACAAAACGTCAATAATATACCATCTAATATTCATGGACACCATCGACAGAATTATAAACAATCATTAAACAAACAAATCCAAGAATATGAATATCAATTAAAATATGAAAAATTTGAACCATTACCACATATTCCGTACTTTATCAACAAAACAACAACTGAACAAACTTTACATCAACTTATACAGGCAGCAACATCATCGTCCGAATTTATAATTGATACAGAATCCATCAACATATACAAGAGAAAAAATGAACCGGTATTAATCCAAATACAGATCTTACTACCGTACAATTTGTCATTGATTATGATCGTCGAAATGTGCCACTTACCTCGTGATCATACCATTCATTTTGCATTAATTAAACAATTATTCGACATTATCTTTACGTCAAATAAAACTATTTATATTTGGGGAATTAAGAATGAATTGTTTCCTTTCGTTAACTTCAAATTATTTTCACATGAACAACTTCACTCTATTACACCAATTAATTTACAACATCAATTTAAATTATTCTGGAACGAACAACATCAACACCATCATCGTATTTCAACATCTGATAATATTCTCGAAGATAATTGTATATGTGAACAATGTATCGGAAAGAAACCATCAGAACCTTGGTCACTCCAAGATTCGACTGCATATTTATTAAAGGAGTATCTTCCAAAAATATTAACTCGAGAAAAATTTAATATTGGATTAGATCCTAATTTATTTAATTTAGATTTTGAAGAAAAACATTATCGACAACAACTTACAACATATGCATTAAATGACTGCTTATCAATGCAACGTATATTAATACAGATGAAAAATGCAAAATTTGAAATTAAATTTCATTCGAATAAACAAAGTAAACGTGAATTACTTCAATTATCACCAATTAGCTCCGATGATGAAGATGATTTATTATATCTACAACGTACTTCATCATTATCTAAACCACAAACAAAACTTTCCAATCGCATCGTTTTTATAAATGAATCACCTGCTACATCTATCGTAACTCCAGAAAATTATTCTACATTAACAACTCAACACAATTTAATTATGAGTCATCCACTGGAATCACTTCCATCACTTGTTGGTTTACAAAGATACCCACATGATTGGGAATCGATGAGAACCAATGAAAATGTTACAAAATTACCTGATTGGAAAAACGTACACCCGACATCAACTCATGATAATCAAAACGAATCACAACATCCTCATGAAGAATTATCTGCTGATCAACGTAGAAAAATTCACAATAGATCGTGTACGATTAAACAACGTAAACGATATTATCGAAGTGAGTTAATTTTTGAAAATATTGATCATCGTTTTTCTATAAAGCAAATCAAAATGATTCTTCAACAACAACAAATTCCATTTTACGTGCTGAACACAACAACAACAACCACAAACAAAAGAAAATTATTCGTGGCTATTCGTAATCCGGAATTGATTAAAAGATATGAACAACAATCTCGTCATTTATTCACAAAAGCGCATTATGAAGAACTAAAATTACATGATCAATTACCACGTGCACATCGTCATTTAAATTCTCATCAAACACAATCTCAAGCACGGTTATGACATGATCATCATTTCAATTATTGGACTATCATACGTGCTCAGATAATATAACAGATATTCGATGATACAACACACTATTTTTTTTTCATGTTGATCATCGTGGCTGAACATATATTTTTTTTTTGTTTGTTTCTCCTCAGTTATTCATTTTGTCTTTCATTGTTGTTGCTCTATTTGTGCCTTATATTTTTTTTTGCTGTTCTCACGTTTATATTTTTTTCATTTATATTTTTTTTCTATCACTTGTTAAACATGATATTGTTAACTTTTCTTTTTCTGTATTCTGAAACGTCCATAGGACATTTCTTTCAACATATGGGAGAATGTTAGAGGGATGTCGCTCCTATCTGTCTATTCTATTATCCTCTATCTTTTCTTCACTTTCGTATACTACTACTATTCGATTTGTTCTTATATATATATGTATACGTGTTGATGGAGAGAGAGAATAAATAAAGATCGTGTGAAAGACACACATATAGAGAATATATCTCTAACAAAAGGCTACAATTTATTCTTAGTATCTAATTACGTACTATTTTATCAATAGTAACAGGTGAAATCATAGACGAATAATCAGATATGTCTCTGATATTATGTCTAGTTGTTAGTAAATGAAACGGTTAATCATGCTGTATATTAGATATATGCTCTAGATGATCATGATTGATCACAGATCAGGCTGACTCTTTTTCTAAGTTTTCAATTACTATTATATAGAACTATGCAACTATTAGCAAGGGATAATAATCACATCTAATTACCCTTGCTCAGTAAATATACTGCAAAAAAGTATTTCTAAAATCTTCAGGAATAGAAAAATGATCGAATAGTTATAATAGAAAATTATCAATGATACATCGGAGGATCAGCGTCTATTTCAATTATATCATAAGGCTAGATTTCTCGCTATTCTACAAAGTGTTATTCACATAGAAAATAATTTAGTGTTGATATTTATCATCATTTCAGATTTATAGGATAAGAAGATGATTTGATGGTTACTCAAGTGATAGCTAGATTAAACAAAGCAATCTATTTCTTTTGAAACAGAAATTTCTATTGGAGAAAAGGAAGAACAGACTTGATTTCCAAAAGCAAAAAAAAACTAAGAACAATAATGGAAAACCTTTTGGCTTGTTACTCAGTTATCCATAGCACTGCAGCCCAAGTGCTCGAAAAATCCTATTATGCACATATATTAGATATTTTTCAATTCTAAGAATCAAATTCAGAATCTTGCGAAGAATGATCCGTAAGGCTATTTTACTCGAAGTGCAACTGACTATGGGTGTTGTCGCACGGATTATAGCTGCTATAGTGTTAAAGAAACAAGATGTCGTACCGCTGGTTTCCGTTGTTGTAGAGGTAATAGATATTGTAGTGGTCGTTGTTGTTGCAGTATTTGAGGCAGTTAATATAGTAGTGGTGGTGACAATAATTGTGGTAGCAGTAGAGGTATGAGGTATTATAGTGGTTGTTGTCGCAGCAATAGAGATACCAGGTTGCACAACGAAAGGGGTAATAGTTGTCTTAGTAGTAGATTTTGTAGTAGTCGTTGTCGTTTCAATAGTAGACGTAGTAAGTTTTGTGGTGGTCGTTGTTGTTTTAGTAGTAGTGGTAGTAGGTTTTGTAGTGGTCGTTGTTGTTTGACTAGTAGAAGTAGTCGATTTTGTGGTGGTCGTTGTTGTTTTAGTAGTAGAAGTAGTAGATTTTGTAGTGGTCGTTGTTGTTTTAGTAGTAGAGGTAGTAGGTTTTGTAGTGGTAGTAGTTACTGTTGTGATAGATCCTGCACAGCCATAAAAAGCTCGAATTGCTTGGATGTCAAGCGAACTTAAAGTGTCACGTTGTCCTATTGTGACACCCGACTTAAGTGGCACGAGGGTATCGGAACCATTTATGCTAAAATAATCTCTACCGTAGTGCATTATTGATCCATAATCATAAGGTGTTTTCAAAGTATTCGCTTCACTGGTATTATATTCTCGGAAATTGCTTTCCGTACCTATTTAATGTTAACAAATCAAAATATTTTTGTTGCTTTCAAACAACAATTGCAATGAAAGAAAATTTGTATAACCTGGTCTTATATTCTCCCAAACGACTCTGACGTAATTATCCCGATCTGGTCGTGATTGTTCATGATAGAAGCCTAAATTTATATAAAATTATATTTGTTATGGTACTTTCTTTTTAGTAATAAGAATTCTATTGCACTAGTGTTGATCGATGTAAACAATTTTTATTGCACACATGGAGGTTAGATTCAATTGAAAATGAAGAATTTTCTGTATGACTATATTTTAGATCTATCTTGTTAGAAAAGTGACAAAGTAAAAGTATTGATAAAAAAACTACTTATAACTGATACTTTTTGAGTACTATGGGAATACTACCCAGAGACAATATAAAAAGTGATTTATTATTGAAAACACTATTGGCTTTTTTACTTTGATTAATCAATTAAATTCATATAAGAATAATATGCTTAAGAGATACCCTTATTGCATTGAAAATTTTTTAGATTTTTTGTGTTTATTTTTGTTTTCTCCTCTATATATGATTTGAAATGTTCTCTATCTATTGGAAATAGTTCAGGAATCAATACATGACTATTAAAGCCGAAAAACAGAGCAAAATAGAGTATTTTCGCTGTAATTAAAAAACGAAATTTTTCACTAAATAAGTACAGAATCGCCGCGCTTTTCAATTGCAATACATCCAATCGATCTCCAACTTGCTTCAAATCATACTAAAACTTATTTAGGGTGCTAATGTCTTCTTCGTTTCAAAATATGACGTATCATTGGTTCTTGCCAAAAGTTGCAAAAAAAAGAAGGTTCCAGTTAAAAAGATATACATTTTTTATTCTGACGTTAGAATTTCAATATTTTTATTCAGAGAGAAGGTGATATAAAGAAACGAAAAAAACCTAGTCAACGCACATAATGTTTTGTATCAGTAAATAAATTGCTTAGTTTTATCAGGTATGCTGTGGTTGAGAAAAGAGCCGATAAGAAAGAAAGAAACATATTTTTCACCTTTGTGATCCCTATGTGTCTTCTCTGAAGTTTTTGATGAGCCGTTCTTCAAAAGTCCGGGAAAGAGAATGGGCTCTCCTTAAAGGGACTTTCTCTTTATTGGTCCCAAAAATTCGTTTTTTCGATTTTGAACTTTTCATTTCTAAAGAGGTGTTGAAGCTTCTTCTATCATGTGCTGTCAAAATTAGAGCCGTGCAAAGTCGTATAAATCCTGAAAAAGCTTAGTTTCGAGAGCTCCTATCTTGAAAAACAGGTTTTTAGTGTTTTAGATGAAAATCTTTTGAGTTTATCTTGTTTATTAATTCTATGAATATTTCTTAAAAACAGCTCTTTAAACTCATATTTGATGCACAATAAATGGTAATCTACAATAATTCAAAATGAGCACAAGAGAAAAAAGATACATGTGAAAAACAAAAAGTTTTAGATAGTTTTGAGTTTTTCTCAAAATCAATTTCCGAACAAAAAAATGAAGTTTACTTCCCTTTCTCGTACGAGATATATCCGATCGGACTCAAATTCTTTTAATGACTGCTATGATCGAATTGACGTACGTGTTTTTTTTCAAAATGTTGTTCCTACGAAATTTGGCAATCTTCAAAAGTGTAATACCACTGAAAAAACAAAACAACTTTTTTTGACGGTGTTTCCAGTATTTTGCTTCTCGTGAGCTCTAGGAACAATATTTTTGCAAGAAGAACACATTACAGCTTGAAAAAAAATGAAATTTCGAGTTCTGCAAAGAGAGAAGCTTCCGGCCATTTTTTTCTCGGCCTTTGCAACTCCCATATCTTCCTGAAGGAGGCATCTGGAAATCTTAAGTCTAGGATAACTTTTGTTCTACCTCTTGATATCTATCTACTTTGAAAGTTTCATCATTTTTTGTTGAGTCTTTCCCTGAGAAATCTTGGAAAGTGATAGGAGGGGTGAGAGATCTCCTTAAGACTTTTCAAAATTGAAATTATTATCAAGATGAACACTTTCAACAATCATTTCGTTCAAACTCTAGTTTTCGAACAGTTCATGGCGAACTGTAGATAGTTGTACAAGCAGTTTTTTGGAAAAGTATTTAAAAATTCTACAGAACTCCAGTGTGTGCTGAACACTTCTGTATATAGTTTTATTGTTTGCTTTCTTGTGTCGATTAGTATATAGAAAGTCTCGTTGTGATACAAAGAAATTTCTCTATTCTGTAAGACCGTCTTTTAGATAGTGATCAATATTCATACAAACAATTAGAAAAAAATGTATTGTTTTACCTAATGTATGGAGGAACTCATGCATGATCGTTCCTGTGTAAACACAACCAGGATTTTGTAATGTCACCGTGCGATCGAATGTCTGTCCTGTATATCGTCCGATCTCGAAAAATTGAAATATATATATTAAACTCTAAATAAAAATATCCTCACAAATTACTCACATAAGATGAACAACCATTACCATTCTGAATTAGGATATAATATTGTCCATCAGAAGCGACTTTCGGACGAAATTGTACACAAGGTACATTATTAACTGCCGTTAAGCTCTCCAATGTTCGCATAGCATTTATAATTATATTTTGATCTGCAGTGTCTACAAATAAACATAATCTTGTCGTTCAATACTTGATGTATTATATTATAGCACGACACTAAAACAACTACTATCAGAAAATCCAACAAATGTCTTGTTCGACATATTACATTTGAACATCAAATATTATTATTACATATGAAAAAAGAGACTTNTTTAAAATATGCTAAGATTGAACAAGATTTATCCGATACATTTGAAAAATCTAATCAATTATCAATCGAACATATGTCACCCAATATTATTGTTAATCATCAACAAGTTTCTCCATTTACAGCTATGATTAATCGACCGAAGCAATATTATAATTTAAAACAGAGAAATGATCATTTATATCCTTTAAATAGCCAGAGCTCTGTCTCTCAACAGAACTCGATTCGTCAACCTCAATCTCGATCAACTTATACGTATAGAACACCAATACAAACTTATTCACAACAAAAAACATTTAATAAGAAATATATTAATAATCAATTTCCATCACAACAACAATTTAGTAATTGCAAAGTTTGTGGTCGAAACAATCATCGAACAATCGATTGTTTCTATAAACGTACAACCGGATGCTTTAATTGTGGTCAAAACCATCATGTCCAAGGTTGTACAATGCCTCCAAATTTTCAATAACTGGGTCACATGATGGCGGTGTTCCCAGTCAACCTATTAAGCCATCAACAATAACATCTTCTCCTGTTTACATTAAAATTCGTGTTAATGATCAACCAACTGAAGCAATTGTTGATACCGGTTCCGCCATCTCAATCATTCATTCTAATTTTCTTAAAACTATTCCTCACCAAAATTTTATTTATAATAATTATATATGTCAAACAGCAAATTCAACACCACTTAATATAATCGGTCAAATTACATTAGAACTAAAACTTAAATCAATAAGAACATACGTTAATGCTCATGTTGCAACAAACTTAATCACCTCCTTACTATTAGGTAATGACTGGATTAATTCAAATCATGTTCATTTGTTTGGTGATCAACAACAACTCACTATTCCTGATCAATATAATCAATTGACATCGATTTCATATGTAGAACCTATGTTTACTAGTCACCCAGCCTTATTAGTCAATCAAATTATCCTTCCACCATATTCACAAACATTAGTTGATATTTCATGCGGAATTAATCATAATAATAATCTTATATTTGAACCGTATTCAAACTACGCCTCAAAATTTATCTTCATACCACACACATTATTAAATATTAACAACCACAAAGCTAAAGTATTATTAATCAATGCTCGGAATCAACCAACAACATTACCTAAGAATACACGAATCGGAACTCTTTCTTCTCCATTAACATATACAATATGTTCTAGTACAATCAATCCAACAAAACAAAGTTCACCTCCCGATAAACATAATAAATCAACACTTCGACTGCCAATTAAATCACAATGTAGAGCTGTTACAAATAAACATAACAACTCGAAAGAAGAAAATTCGAACGTTATTTGTGATATTTGCAATGAATATTTTTTATCTGGTAATGATTTACAAAAACATTTACGAGCGCAATGTTATTCAGAACAAATTCGACAACAAATATCAAATTTAACCAAACACATAGACAATGAAAATGATCGTTCAAAGATCCAAAATATATTATGGCGAAATAAAACATTATTTGATCCTACACCATCAATAATAAATATACCTCCACAATCTGCAATTAAAACTGGTGATCATCCACCTATCTATTCAAAACAATATCCAGCTTCATATAAAGATCAAGAAATTAAACTTCATGAAACGCAAAAATTATTAGATCGTGGTCAAATTGAAGAATCAACTTCTCCATGGTCTTCTCCTATTGTTCTGGTTAAGAAAAAAGACAAAACTATGCGATTTTGTATTGATTATCGTCGATTAAATGCTATTACAATTAAAGATGCATTTCCACTTCCTCGAATAGATGAAATATTTGATCAATTATCCGATGCAACATATTATACAAAATTTGATTTCAAATCTGGTTATTTTCAGGTACCTCTATCTAAGGAGGACCGACCTAAAACTGCCTTTTCAACTCGTGATAACCATTATCAATTTACTGTTCTCCCACAAGGAATTAGCAATGGGCCCGCAACGTTTCAACGTGTGATTAATCACATATTAGGACCCACAAGATGGAAATATGCCTTAGCCTACATTGATGATATAATTATATATTCCAAGACATTTGAAGAACATATACTACATCTTAATGAAATATGTACAATATTAAAAGATGCTCGATTTCGTCTTAATCCAGAGAAATGCGAAATTGCTCGAATTGGAACAGATTATCTTGGACATAATATTAAAAATGGTGAAATTCGCCCCAGTCTTTATAATATTAATGGTTTACTAAATACAAAATTACCTCAAACACCGGATGAAGCTTGCAAATTTGTTAAAGCAGCTGAATATTATAGAAAATTTATACCAAATTTTTCTCAAATTGCCGAACCATTACGAAAATTTGTTCCAACGACAAAAACTCAGCAAAGGAAAGGACAAAAAACAATCATTAAATTAACCGATGATGAAGTTAAAGCATTCCAAAAACTTAAACATTATCTTACAACCGACTTAGTTTTAAAATTACCAAATAATAGATTCCCATTTAAAGTGCAAACTGATGCATCTGATGAGGGAATCGGAGCAGTTTTATTACAAATTTATCCCGATGGTAATAGACCTGTTGCATATATATCGAAGAAATTTACTCCAGTACAGCGCAAATGGTCTCCTATGGAACAAGAATGTTATGCATTTATTTGTGCATTAGATAAATGGCATAACTATTTAAGTGGAGTTAAATTTACTTGGGAAACTGATCATAAGGCATTAACACAATTGAATCAAAAAGCTCAAATTAATAAAAGGTGTGAAAGATGGAGATTAAAAATCTTAGAATATGATTTCAAGGTGCAATACATCCCAGGATTAACAAATTCAATGCCCGATTATTTATCAAGGTCTCCAGTTGATGACGCTGAAGAAGATCCTGATGAAATTTCAAATCTTGTTTCAACATCAACACAAACCGATTCTTCATATATTAATAATCATTTACCTATTGTTACAGCTGTTGAAACTCGTGCAATGAAATTAAGAAATAAAAATTTAAATGATATAAATGACATTTCGAAATTAACACCGGATTCTCTAAATGCTTCTAGTCAAGAGAATCGAATTATTCCATTTTCAATCGAACAATTAATTGAAGCTCAACAACATGATGATTATGCAAAAAATATTATGAACAATATTAAGAAACATAAAAATTATTTTATTAAAGATAATTTATTAATGCATCAATCGAAACACCCAGTTCCCTATATACCACAAGGCGATGTTAGACGAACAATCTTACAAATTTATCATGATACTGCAGCAAATGGTGCTCATTTTGGACGAGATAAAACAATACACAAAATTAAAACACGTTACTTTTGGCCTTCAATGTACAAGGATATAACTAATTATATCAAATCGTGTATTACTTGTGCTCAATATAATCCTCGTCGAAGAAAAGCTCCTGGCAAATTACAACCAATTAAACCCCCGGACGGTGTATGGCAGTTAGTATCTATGGATTTTCATGGTCCTATTAATCCAACATCTCGTCGTGGTAATAAATACATTATATGTCTTACAGACGTTTTATCAAAATTTGTGGTAACAAGGGCAGTGCGTGACAATACTGCTCAAACAACCGTTAAATTTCTTAAAGAAGATATTATTTCAAAATTTGGTACACCTCGATGTATATTAACCGATAACGGTACCCATTTTACATCAGCAATAACGAATGAATTAATTAAACAAGTGGGAGCGACACATTTATATACAACACCATATCATCCTCAATCGAATGGTCAAGTTGAACGATATAATTCAACAATGGATGCAAAAATTGCTGCATTATCCAATATACAAAAAACAGATTGGGATGATCAATTACCATTTGTAACATTCAATTACAATACGTCAATCCATGCATCAACCAAGCAAGTTCCATTTGAAATGATGTACGGTAGAACACCAATATTACCATTTGATTATCAAGGAGATAATGTTACAATTCAATATGATGCCGAACATGTGAAAAAACTTAATCAATTTTTAACAAAATTAAATGAACAAGCAAAACTTAATATAAAAAAAAAACAAGAACAATATAAGCAACGTTACGATGCAAATCGATCTGATCCTTTTTATAATATTGGTGATCTGATCCTCGTTAAGACGCCTCTACTCCACTCAAAGTTTCATATTCGTTATGAAGGACTATTTCGAATTACTCAACAACTTACACAAAAAACCTTTATTGTACAACACACAAAAAAACCAACATTTCATCGTCAAGTTACAGCCGATGTGATGCTTCCAATATTCGAACGCATTCATTAATTTTAGGCTCTCTTTCATAGAGATCCGAAACATACATAATATGTCAAACCCTATGGAATAATTATTTATTATTAAGATAACCACATTTTATATGATCTAGCATAGCGAGATCGGGGAGTGTGACTCTCCTCCATTCATTGGTTTTGAAGGGCTATCATATTCTATTTGAAAGATTATCCTTTATAGTTAATTATTTCATTTCACGAAATATAATTTATGGATATGCTAATATTCATTTACTTATTCTTTCAGATTCTCATCTGATCAGTGAGAATCGAAAAGAAGCATTATTTCGTACTCTATCTTTATTGACATATGAATTAATGAATGATAAACGAACGATAAATTATTTTCTCTTGAAAAAAAAAGAAAGAAAAAATTTTTATTTTTCCTTTTGGGGCTCAAATAGCAATTGGTAGAGTCCTATTCGCAAAAAACATCGATTATTTTAACCAATCAGAAATTCCCCATCTTCAGAATCGATATCTATAATTATATATTCTTTTCTTTGTAGTGATGCTGTCTAACGAAGAATATCAAGATACAAAACGTCAATTAAATAATATAACATCAACTGGAAAATCACGACAAAAAATTAGAACAACATT